ATTTTTTTTTTTTTTTTTTTTTTTTTTTTATGCCAGATATTTATATAGCAACTTTTGAAAGCATCTATCAAAGTGCGAGTCAAGATGAATGAATTTTTGGAAGTAAAAGCAATAAAATGCAGCAAAAGACATAGGTTTCAAGATCATAGCATACCAAGCAAAGGTGAAAAATGCAAGAACTACAAATATACAATGGTTATTAAAGGTTCTTCAGGTAATCTTATTGTATACAGCAGAACTAACCTTTTCTTCCTAAGCCAAAGACACAATTACAAAGTTCAATGGATTAATCTCAACCACTAAACTCCTAATACAATTTGGGTAATGTCATTGACACTCCGAAAACAATTTCAGGCGCTTCGTTCCATCTTCGGTGATGGTGCAAAAATATGACTAATAATATGTTCCAAACTTGGTTTTGTAAACTCGCGTAAATCAAAATGTGTGATTTCTGCTTTTGGTGATGCTCGAGGAAATTGTATCAAGTCTTCCAATATTCTGGATATACCATCATAAACTTTTGCAAAAATTACCAATTTTTCAAGTACAGTTGAGCATGCTAACAGAATCTTGAGAAACTCCAGCTTGAGAAAGTCCATTTCCGGCTGCACTCCAGAGAAAGGTGCAAACACTTTCGTAGCTGATTCAAGGAAAATTGCGATTTTTTTAAAATACTCTACAATGGATTCTATGTTATGAATCGAAGAGCAGGATATCTAGAAAAGAAATTAAAAAATAAATGTCATATCAATCTCAACCTTGCAAATATACATAAACAAGAGAATATTAAAAACTAACTCACTAGAATCTTAAGTTCTTGCAAGTTGGGGGAACTTCTGATCAAGCAAAGAGCACAAGAGATCTCTTCAATCTTTCCAAAACGCACACTAGATAAATCCATGAATTTGAGGTGGCCCAATATACAAGGAAGTCTCTTTAGTACATTATCTACACCCAACAACTTCAAAGAAATGGACCAAACGGAAGAAGTAAGAAACATGTTTTGCATTGAAGGTCCACTATGTACCTAAACAATAAACATAGAGCTTTCTTACCTCCAAAAGTTTACCATCCAGCTCCAGTTTCTCAATAACAGGTTGACAATTTGAAAACATGATAACATCTGAGGTTTTCCCTTCCTCATGACTATAATTCAAAAGCCTGAACAAGCACCTCAGTGAAATTTCCTCAAGAGGGGTATGCTTGAAACAAATGGATTTGAAAATGCCACAAAAGGTGAAAATTTTGAGTCTAGGACAATCAATTTCAAGGTAATCAAACTCTGTGATGCCAACACACTCCAATTGTTCAAGCTGCGGGGAATTAGAGATCAACCATGCAAACCTTTCAGGTACAACTGTAACATTTACAAGCTCAAGGCCAACAAGCCTGGAAAGTCCTTTGAACGTAGGTGGAGGTTCGAGTACACAATTAGAAAGATGCAAACGCCTTAGTTGTAGGAAGGTGAACAGGTGAGAAGGCAATACATGGGCAGTGCCTAGGGAAATTGTTAGGGTAAATTCCTGGACATTGTTTTTTGACAGGAAAAGGATCCAATGATTGATATCAGGACAGCTGCTGAAACCAGAGATGCCAAGGGTGAACTTAACTGTAGGTCCCGTATGAAGTAACAGAACTTGGTAAACAGTTGTCTTAAATTTCAGAGTTCCCTGTAAGTCAAAGGGAAGCTGGAAATCAAATACGATATTTGGAATTGTTACCCATTTATACCTCCATTCTCTCGATAAGATACTTGTCCTCACAACATCCTGCAATGGCAAGCATGTGAAGATCCTTTCTGTGATGTCAGTTGGCAAATTACTGATAATATCTGAATCAGAACTCCTAACCTCCCTCATCATAGATTTTTAATTGAATTTCCTGGAAATCAATAGCAAGGAAGACAATTAAATTATAGAATCAAATTTTTTATACAGGTACCACCAAGTACCAGACCCATATGATCACATTTTTAGAATGATTTAGGATGAACACAAAACCAACAGTACATGAAAGAACTAAAAAGGCACAAGTCATCATAATTCATAAACAATCTTCCACTTCAACAATCTTTGCAACTATGAATAAAATTAAGTTGAACGTTCACACTTAGAATTGGGGGTGTCAACCCTGACTCATTAACAATAACTCAGATTCGACACGATTATTAAATAATACGCATTATAAATGGTATAGATTAATGTTTGATACTTAAAACACACTAAATATATTTTTTTTTCACGGGTCTTGACACCAACTCGACCCAAGAACTAGAATCAACCCTCTTTTTTTTTTTCTTTTTGAAAATTATCTATTTGATCAACTCACAGCTTTCGGAGGATGGCATTGGCACATATTTCAGATAGAGACCATAAATATCAAGAAACTATTAAAATATTTGACTTTTGGAAATGTATGGGGCTGGGATATGAATTTTTTTGTTTTATTTTCCGAATGAAGCAATTGAAAAAACAAATTAAAATAAGTAATTTTCAGATTTTTTTTTTTGCAAATTGTAGCGCACAAAAAATTCATTGAAAATAATAAAATTAGTATTTTCAAGACAAAAATCTGAAAATTGTTCCGTAAGAAAATTCCAACGAAAATATAAAATAAGTATTTTCACGACAGAAAAATCCGAAAATTGTTGTGCAAAAAAAATCCATTGGAAAAAATAAACTTAGTATTTCAAGACAAAGAAATCTCAAAATTGTTGTGCAAGAAATTCCATTGAAATTAAATACAATAAGTATTTTCTTAAATCCAAAAAATTTGTTTGCGCATGATTATTCCATTGAAAAAAATAAAATAAATATTTTCAAGCAAAAAAAAAATCTAGAAAATTGTTGTGCAAGAAAACTGTAATCTCCGAAATCAAGCCAACCATTGATCAATAGACACACAAACATATATCTCTACTTATAAGTTATTAGTTACAAACATCTATACATAGAGAGAGAGAGAGAGAGAGAGAGAGGCCTTACCTGCAAGCTGCCATTGTGAGTGACGAAGATTAGAGATAGTAGAGGGAAATGATAGAGAGATAATCTGGAAGTCAGATTCCGGCGAGTAGGTAGCTGGATTCCGGCGAAGGGATTTTCTCTCACTTGCATTTTGGTGAGACTTTTCAATAAATTGGACTTGAATAACAATCAGACTATAGCGAGATTTAAATTGATATTTTTGAATGCTAGACAAAATCGTTAAATAATATTTTAAAATTAATTTTGAATTTGTATATATAAATATTTGATTTGATTATATGGCCCGATCCAAAGTGATTACATTATAAAATTGAATAGAAATTCAAAAGTAATTTGTAAAAATTCAATTATAATTAAATTATTTAGATTTAAATACAATTTGACCAATATCTCATCTAAATTCAATCATTTGACATGCTTATTCAAAATTTGTATTTATTGTAACGAATATATTTACTCATTCTTTAACAGTCCCATAATTACAATTGTACGTCAAATCATAATCTCTATTTCCCTTTTATATTAGAGTGTCGGTGTAATTTAATTCAATCTCAATCCCTAATACTCGAAATAAACATAGTCTTTAGAATTGTCATTTTTTTTATAGCCATACTAGTTAATTTCTAATTGGGTTTAAAGGGGAGTAAAAATTTGTGTTTTCCGTGATAATTACTCAAGCATGCAATGCATTGAACCGAGCTACTCGAGTTTGGCTAAGATAGAGCTCGACTCAAGCTTGACTCATATTCTTAACGAGCGGAGCTTAAATAATGTTTTAGACTTGTTTAAAAAATAAGCTTAAAAAGATTCAGCTCAAACTCATAAAATTTTACTCACTTCAAGTGCAAGTACTTGCAAGTTGGGGGTAACTTTTAATCAAACAAAGAGCACTAGAGACCTCTTCAATCATTCCGAAACAAATAGAAGATAAACAAACAATTTTGAGGTGGTCCAATATACCAGGAAGTCTCTTTAGTACATTACCTGCATTTAACAGCTTAAAAGAAATGGGCCAAAAGGAAGAAGTAAGAAACATGCTTTGTGTTGCAGATCTACGGTGTAGGTAGGTAAACATAAAGCTCTCTTACCTCCAAAAGGTAACCATCCAGGTTCAGTATCTTAATAGCAGGTTGACAATTTAGAAACTTGATACAATTAAGAGTTTTTTCCTTCCCCAGGGTGATCCACATTCACATCCATGGAAGTTAGATTCATCCAAATTTCCGCAAGAAGATGGGTGTTCTTGAAACAAATGGATTTGAAAATGCCAAAAAAAGCTAAAAGTTTTGAGTCTGGGAGCATCAATTTCAAGGCAATCAAACTCGGTGCAGCCATCCCACCAAAATTGTTCGAGTTCAGGAGAATTAGAGATCAGCCACACAAACCTTTCGGGTACAATGATAACTCCTGAAAACAAAAGGCTGACGAGCCTACTAAATCCTTCAAATGTAGGCAGAGGTTTGAACACACAGTTAGAAAGATTCAAATGCCTTAGTTGTCGGAAGGTGAACAAGTGGGAAGGCAATATATGGGGATCACCTTCATAAATGCATAGGGTGAATTCCTGGACGTTGTTCTTGGACAGGAAAAGGATCCAATGATTGATATCAGGACAGCTTCTGAGACCACGGACGGAAAGGGTGAACTTAAGTATAGGTCCCTTGTGAAGTAAGAGAACTTGGTAAAAAATTGTTTTAAATTTCTGGCTTTCCTGTAATTCGAGGGGGAGCCAGCGATCAAATACAATGACTGGAATTGTTATCCATCTATATCTCCATTCTCTTGATAAGATACTTGTCCTCGCAGCATCCCGCAATGGCAAACACTTGAGAATAATTTCTGTGATATTATCTGGCAAAGTACTGAAAATGTTTGAACTCCGAAGCTCCCCCATTTCACAATTTTTATTGATTATCCTGGAAATCAAAAGCAAGGAACGACAATTAGATACTAGTACCAGATCTATATCATTACATTTTTATACTAATGTGGCATGGCATAAACACAAAAGAAACAACACTTGGAAGAACAAAAATGGCCAACTCAGGTCACCGGTATCATCCACTTCAACCAAGTCTGCAGTTATGAATAAAATTAAGTACAAGTGATCATTCACACTTCAAATCAACATTCTCTAAAACTTTCTCCTTGAGCAACTCAATAGTTTTCAAGATAGCCAACCCCCACTCCCCCTCCCCCTCCCCCTCCTAAATATAAAAAATAAAAAAAGCAATAGTAGTTTTTATATTTTTTTTTAGGACACATAGAGGACATGCAATCAACACGCTTAGACACGCGGCTGACGCGCTTAGGACATATTTTGAGATTTTTTTTAATTTTTTGGAAACTTTTTCAAATAAATTCATAATTAAAATTTATTTTTGTAATTTAAAAGAGATATGAGTCAATCATAATATAAAAGAATTTATAATCATTAAATTGAACAAAGGATATTAATGTAACATAATTTTGTATACGAATACGAACTTAAATACAAATGAAATAAAATTCTAATATGAAAATAACATGAGACAAAGTGGGGTTACAAAATTAGGGTTGTTTGAAATTGATGAAAATTAGTGTTACAAAATAAAATATTTTTTATAATGAAAATTGTAGTAGTTATTGATTGTTGGATCATGGATATTAAAGTTGAATGTGAATTGTCATATTTTATATTACATTTTTTATGCAATGATAACATGATATGAATTTTTAGAATTACAGAAAACATGAATTAAAATATTATTATGATAATATTTTTATTTTATCACATGATTATACATATATTTATATATATAAATATATAATATTTAACGTGTCCGTGTCCTACTTTTTTAAAAAATATTGTGTCAGCAGCGTGTTCGTGCCATGTTGTATTCGTGTCTCATATGCGTGTCTGTGCTTCTTATATTGGCACATATTTGAGGCCAATGATCCTTAATTAGACACGATAACATTCCTCCAAAGCTTTTAGATGCAGTAAGTTAGTAACCCAAAAAAGAGCCTAGAATGATTTTATGCCACAAATCTAATCAAGAGGCCTCTAGTTTTTCAAAAATTCGACCATGTCTTTCCAACAACATTACCGAAACGCAGATAAAACTGCACAGCTCAATGCATCTCATTATTACAAGCCCAACAAAACATTAATGGAGCAAAAACACACGGACAATGGGTTAATTTATTTCATAATGTTCTTTGTTAATCACTCAATAAAAAAATCAAAATTATTGATGAAAAAATTCTAATCAAAAAAAATTATTGATGGAAAATTCAAATCACTTTAAACCTTAATCCAAAACTACTAAGGTTGAAAGAATTATTTACTGCTACTTGAGAGTGCAAATCGAAAATATAAAATCTTTCTGGGTGCAACGTAGCAAAATGTGTGTGTGGGACAGGAAGCTCGCCCAGCTAGCTGCCAGCTTCCAGGCGTTGCCCAAGGTGCCCTGCCAGCCTCAAGGTGTCGCCCAAGGCGCCACACAGCCAGCTGCCCCACCTCCAGCGTCACCACGTCCCTTGTCCTGGCGTTGCCCCTGCCCGGCGCCCAATTTACTACCTGGCTAAGGATTGACCTGGGACCTAAAGTCCTAGTAAAACTCGACTCCGAGTATTAAGTAAAAATCGATAAACAAAGCCTTTCGACAAGCATATCTTCTAATAAACTAAAACTCAACATCTTAGTATGATTCTACCTTGAATATCTAGAAGATTAGTGACGAGATCTATCAGTCTATTTGAAAAACTGTTTCCTATATCACTATAAATAAAGGTATCGGATAAAAGGGAGGAACTCAGTTCATTTACTCTACACTTTTCTTCAAACTTGTTTACTGACTTAAACATCGGAGTCCTTTTCGCTGCCTCCGGCATCAATTCAGCTAGATTTTCTCTTGTGTTGCAGGTCTACCAAGGCTTCCCCGCCATCATCGTTTGTACGAGGTGGAGATCCTTTGTGTGAATTTTTCTCCGCACAGTGTGATTCACCCTAAATTGGGGTTGCAACTTTACTCAACAGATCTGGCTCAAACCTTTAACTTGATATGCAAAATCTTCCAGATAATCATTAGGGCACCTTTTTGAATATTAATTAATACTAACACAGCATGAGATTATGTTGGATATGAAGCCTAAACCTGAATATGTAATAGCACGGCATGCAAGAACAAATAACACGTATAAAATCCATCTAAAGAGGGCTAGACAATCCAAAAATCAATCCATTAAATTTCAACTTAAAAGCAGTAAAGAACACCCACGCACCGCCACACAACAGAGAACCCACAGCCCATGAACACACACACCCACAACACTCACAAGCATGCAGAGACACACCAATAGAGAGAATGCAGACTGACCCGGATGGTTGAGAGGGCAGAGATGATCGGTGAGGCTTCAGAGTGACGAGAGCGAAGAGCGGGAGACAGCGCGCGGGACTGAGAAAAAAGAATTCGGATTGGGTTTCGGGTTTGGTTTGGAGTTGAGTTGCGAATTTGAGGTTTGGGAAAATTACACTTTACACCCTAAAAAAACTTTAAGTTTCTAATTTATACTCTGAAAGATTTAAATTTTTTATATTAAATGCTCATTTAAATAAAATAAAAAAAAATAGCAATGTGCTTCATTTTTAATAAAATAGAATACCAAATTTTCATGTAAATTGCTTAAAATTTAGAATAATTCAAATAATTGTGAGTAGAAATGCAATAATATAACACATACAACAAAAAATATTGTCAAAAAAGGAAACAAAAGGTTAGTTTCAAACCATATTACTTCATTGATTGAAGATGCAATATGGGATTGAAATGATGGAGAATATTTTGGTGGAACACTCAATTCAAATAGGTTTTGACATATTTTTTATTTCTAAAAACAAAAAATAGTTCCAAGACACAATCCAATAAGACCTTAATGTTTTAAGTTTTAACTTAAGATTTTTGAGATTTTAAAATGCGTGAGTGTCATTTGTCCAAGCATTGCCTAAATTTAATATCAGTTGAGACCTTTATTTATTTAAAATTCAGGGCTTTTGGCACTTTGAACCCTAAACTTTTTTAAATCTTTTACTTTGCAAACTCAAAAATTAAATTTCTCAACCTGTATTATCAATGTATTAAAAATGTTGTAATATGACCCTTCTATTAACTTATACTATTTTTTCTGTCAAAAATCAACTCATTAACCCTGACAGAAAAACTAACAAAAAACTTGGTTATTAATGAATGAATATAAAAGTGATAGATTTAATCCTAACGAGGTGAATATAGAGTGGGTGAACTTATTAATTTAATATTAAAGAGTTAAATGGGATGAGGAAGGATATTTAAGGGGTGGGACGTTATGATAGCCCCACCCGACAGTAATTGCCAAAGGTTTTTCCCTCTTTTTTTTGAGTTATTTTTTATTTCACTTATCACATTTTGTTCACTGATCATTTTTTTGAATAAAGTCTATTATATGATACTAGAAAAATAAAAAATCCTATGAGTCATATGAACTGAGGTAAAATATAACCTAACTTCATCATTTTACCGGGTTTAATCCGATTTAATAAACTCGGCCAAATTTCATGTTTGGTTACAGACATGATAAGAGCAATGTTACATGGACCTGATCAATAAATTGACTTCAATTTCAAGCTCTCCTCTAATTCAAGGTGGCACTCAAATACAATGTCTATAATCTTTACCCGTCTATATCTCCATTCTCTTGATAAGATACTTGTCCTCGCAGCATCCCGCAATGGCAAACTCTTGAGAATAATTTTAGTGATATTATTTGATAAAGTACTGAAAACATCTATAATTCTGAGCTCCATCATTTCACAGTTTTTATTGATGAGCAATACTATTTGCACAAAAAATATGCACCAAAACTTACACCAAATCATTTGTAATCATTAGATCAATGAGTCCCATTAGTAAACTAACGATTACAGTTGATTCGGTATAAATTAGTGCATACATTTAATGCACGTAGAATTATCTTTTTTTAATTATCCTGGGAATCAAAAGCAAGAAACCACATCATTATATGGCATAAAAAACAAAAGAAACAACATTTGGAAGAACAAAAATGGCCAACTCAGGTCATCCACTTCAACCAAGTCTGCGGTTATGAATAAAATAAATCAACATTCTCTAAAACTTTCTCCTTGAGCAACTCATAGTCTTCAAGATAGCCCCGCAACCCCCTCCTAAGAAAAAAAAACAAAGCAATATTAGTTTCATTATTCACCTAGGTTATGTTTGGTAGTGTTTTTATTTTTATGCTTTTTTTTTAAAAAAAAAATGGAATCATTTTTTTCTATAGTTAAACATTGAAACAAAAAACTTGTTTGGATGTAGTTGTTATTTTAGAAAAGTTAAAAACTAAAACAGAAAATATGTGTGACACCCCAAAATTCGGGGGTCTGTTGATTACTCATCAACCCGCGGAATACCCGTGGATACCGAATAACTCGATATCGCGCCGTTGTGCCTCATTTACCGGGATCCATAATTTAACAAAATTCAGGCAGAGTCTCATTTGTACGGGGAGCTCTACCCAAAATCCAACCTGTGCAAAGTATTTTTACATGACCCATCCGAAACCCAATATAAAACATTGGCCACACCGGGTCCTTTTATAAATAAACATTGGCCACATTGGGTCCAATCATCTATATTTATATCAAAACATGCAAGGTTAGTTTAACAATAGTCCATATAAATTCTATTACAATTAAAAAATTACATGCTTAAAACATTATTTCCACAAAGTTGTGTGTATAGCTGATAATAGAAGGAACTCGAACAAGTTCGAATTAAACCTAAAAAACTTATTTTCTTAATTGAGTCTAAAAAATTATTCAACTTTGATTTGTTTAGACAACGATCCGAACTTGCACGAGCCCAAAACAAACCGAGTCCGAATATTTATACATAAACGAATCTTAAATAGTTCCGTTTGATTAACAACCCTAGTTATGGGAATAACTTACTCAATGTGACTTGGTTATGGTCCTGCAGGTGAATAAATAAATACAGTAATAATCAAGAGTACCAATTGGATTTACACTTCTGTTCAGCATTATTGTTGCTTTATTAGTTAACCAGTAAACGATCTGGAATGAATTCATTTCACCTGTCTTTTTTAGCCTAAGCACATTGCCCAGACGACAACAACCAGGCACTTTTATCACTGCCCTTACTCTAGATACATAATAATAGGCAACATTCAAATACTGAATCAAAACCATCATCTCAGAGTAGGTATTGCCTTCTTTCTTAGAATTCAACATCTCTGATATGTTCTACGTTCATAATTCTTCCGATTTTTCTACATAAATCAATTCATTTCTAGCTTGAATCTCTTCCTGCTTTCTTTTGACTCCAGCAGTTGAATTTTCTGCTCGAATTCTCCCGGATGGAAGAAAATTCTTCAGTTCACAAGATACAGCCTCAAATATGCTGCTCACCTAGACGTCTTGCTGGTGCATATATTCCACGTGCTTCTGCTGGCCAAACGAACCCTAATTCGTTTTGCTTTCTCTGTGCTTGTTTCCCACTTAAAATGAAATGGTTGAACCCATTTTTTGTATGAAATAATTTAGGCATTTTTTCCTGACACTTTAACAATTTTCATGTGAATAAGTTTTTAAAGAGTGAAACAAAAGAACAAATAATTTTTTGAGTACTTAACGGACTTTTGATTAAAGCAGAAATTACAACACCCACCTCCACACATGCATTCCCACATATGACCAGACAACCCACAATAACTAGTATACAACCACAACCCACCCACACAAACCTTTGACCAAAATCTACAAAATGTATTATCACTTGACATGTCAAAGTTAGTGTGAACTAACATGATTATAATCCCCTCCAAAAGAAACCTTAACATTTGTCCAAACTTGTATATAAAGATGCAATCGACACTAGAAGCAAAGCCAGAGAAAAGAAGGCACTCTTGGTGAATACTACTTCGGAGGCAATATAAAGAGACCTGCTATAACCACCTGAAATTTCGCTCTTGTAACATTTCGTAACCTCTTTCTTATATTTCATCATTCTAACCTCCACAACCAGAGTTATAAACACAGCCACAACCATCAAGACAATATTAATCTATCGTGATTCTATTCCCTATCAGTCGAAGTTGTGGTGTGGATGGCTTACAAGTTTGCAATATTAGCTCGAACGTGGTTGTTGGGGAAATTTTTTATAGTTCTTGATTAATAAGTGTTAGAGTATGTGTGATTCATATTTGTTGTGTGCATAATGGCAATGAGGCAGATACAGGAGCGGACGGAGTGGAGCGAAGCCCGCGACGGCATCTGCCTTGCGGGATTTGTATAAAGGGGATGCTGATTAGTTGGGGGTGCAGGGACAACGCCCCCGCGGTACGGTACAGAGGTATTTTGTAAATACGTCCGTATTAGGGTTATATAAATACTTAAGATGTAACCCTACTTTGAATTATGAAAAAGAACGGCCGCTCGCTCTCGTGGATGTAGGCACATTGCCGAACGACGTAAATCTCTGTGTGTTATTTTCTCCTGCTTTCTTAATTGTTTAATTCTTTACTATTCACCATAATTGCTGCACGATCACAACAACAAGGAATAGACTCATGATGGATTAATATTGTTTTGATGGTTGTGGCTGTGTTTATGACTCTGGTTGTTGAGATAAGAATGATGAAATACAACACGTTGCAAGAGCAAAAATTCATTTTGGTGGTTATAACAGGTTTCTTTATATTGCCTAGTATTCATCAGAGTACTTTTTTTTCTCTAACTTTGCTTTTGGTGTCGATTGCACCTTTATATGCAAGTAGTTTGGACCAATGTTAAGTTTTGGGATTATAAATCATTTTTGGTCACACTCACAACTGTCAAGTGATAATAAATTTTGAAGTTTTTAGTCAAAAGTTTGTGTGGGTGGGTTGTAATTGAATACTAGTTATTGTAAGGGAATGAAACAGTTTATGCTTTAATTGGATGTATTACAAAAGCCAAAAGTCCATTGAGTCCTAAAAAAATGTTTTTTTTGTTTCACACTGTAAAAACTTAATTCAAATCGAAATTGTTAAACTGCCAGAAATAATCCCTAAATTATTTCATACACAAAGGGGTGCAAAAAAGAACAATTGTGTGGAATCACTTGCATGAATATACCTGTGTGATTAAACCCATTTGTCATTCAAATGTACCAAAAACAAACAAGCATTTTCGGCCATGATTAATTGAAAAAAAGAAATGAAAGAAGAATAACATGCATATATACATTTGGAATATAAAAACTAAACTTTTCTTTGAATGAGAGCGACAGGTTTTGGGACTTACCAGAATGAATCTTAAAATTGAAAACAACCAGAATGCCCTCTTCTCTCTCTCTCTCTCTCTCTCTCTCTCTTTTCTTCTAGTTCCTCCTTTCCTACCATTTTTTTTTCTCGTAAGCCACACTTTCCAACTAGGGAGGTTGAATATACATGGATATTGTTCTCCCGTCTTTTAATTTGGGTGTAGCTTTTCTGGGTGTTATGTGCATTTATGGTGTCTTTATGCGTTCTACCTTTGCAGGCACTGTGTGCATGTGTAGTCTTTGTGTGGGTGTGTGGGTGCAATATGGAAGCAAAGTGATCTGTGTTTAGGTCACTCATTCATAAAGGGTGAGATGAGTTGGTAGTGTTTGCAATATTATAGCTTAAATGATGAAATAAATAATAGCATAAGGTTGTCCAGGTTGTTGGTGTTACTAGGAAAGGAATAATCTCATATTACAAGATATGATAAATGGATAAATAGAAGATAACTGTTAAATTGAACTTAAAAAAAAAAATCTCATCAGAAGAATGTTGTAAGAAATGCAATTGCCAAGCCAAGAAGGAAGGATAGGTCAGATGCTGCAATTCTTGGAGCTGCTGCTAATCCTTCTGGGGACATTCCACCTGGTCAAGAAATTTTTTCAAAAATTTTTAAAAAAAAAATTGATAAAAAAGTTAAAAATGAATGAAGTCCAAAGCTCAATATAAGTTAAAAATTAGCGTAAAATATACTTTTGATCTCAAAATATGCATTTAGTGTCTATTTGGTCCCTAAAATTTCTAATTTGTATCTACGTGGTCCAATCTTAAACGTCCGTCAGAAAATCGTGACGGTTCTGGTCACTTGCTAATTACATTGTTCATATTTTTGTGTCTATTTGGTCCTTAAAATTCTTAATATTGTGTATATTTAATCCTTAAAGTTAACAAAGGAAAGTCTGGAGCTACAGTTGAGAGAGTGAAAGTGTAATTATCTCTTTAGTTTTGATGGCTATGGGCCACTTGAATTTGATGAAGCAGCTCTTGGGGCATAGGATAAAAGTCCTGTCTCATCTCTCAGAAACAAATTGTTAAGTGGTTCTGTCCACCAGGGTTTGTCAAGTTTTTTGTATCAAACAACATTTGAATACTGCAAAACTTAAAAGGGCAAGATGAGTATTGCAGGTGTATTTTGTTTGTTTCCAGTCACTAAAATTGCTTTTCAAGCAACACATAAAACCACTCAACATGCTTTTCAAAACATTTTTGAAGAATTAAGCATGGGCTTAAGTGAAAAAACCCGCGAGTATAGCATGATGAACCCAAGTTACGACAGCTCCGGATAAAGGAAGAACAAGGATTTTCCAAGTATCTAACTTTACTATCTATCTTCTTTTTCTCGCCTCTCTATTTGATAAAGAATTCATTAAGTAGATAGAGAGGGGAAGGATCATGATTCATGAGTACTCCTCACATTTTTATCAATTCACCTACTTTTTTTATTGTTAGAATATTTGAATGAGAGATTTGTCACTTTTTTCTTAAAAACCTCAACAAATTTCAGTAAGTAAATCAAGGAGGGAGAAGTTACTAGTTGTTGCTGGCCCTTCACTTGTAGGGGGGAATGCCACTGGGATTCCTGCAGCTGCAAAATACAATTATAGAAGATCACTAACCACATTGATATATAAAGTGATGGATTGTTCAGTAAACCTATCTTTCATTGAGCTGCAATTCACCTACTTTTTTTATTGTTAGAATATTTGAATGAGAGATTTGTCACTTTTTTCTTAAAAACCTCAACAAATTTCAGTAAGTAAATCAAGGAGGGAGAAGTTACTAGTTGTTGCTGGCCCTTCACTTGTAGGGGGGAATGCCACTGGGATTCCTGCAGCTGCAAAATACAATTATAGAAGATCACTAACCACATTGATATATAAAGTGATGGATTGTTCAGTAAACCTATCTTTCATTGAGCTGCAATTCACCTACTTTTTTTATTGTTAGAATATTTGAATGAGAGATTTGTCACTTTTTTCTTAAAAACCTCAACAAATTTCAGTAAGTAAATCAAGGAGGGAGAAGTTACTAGTTGTTGCTGGCCCTTCACTTGTAGGGGGGAATGCCACTGGGATTCCTGCAGCTGCAAAATACAATTATAGAAGATCACTAACCACATTGATATATAAAGTGATGGATTGTTCAGTAAACCTATCTTTCATTGAGCTGCAATTCACCTACTTTTTTTATTGTTAGAATATTTGAATGAGAGATTTGTCACTTTTTTCTTAAAAACCTCAACAAATTTCAGTAAGTAAATCAAGGAGGGAGAAGTTACTAGTTGTTGCTGGCCCTTCACTTGTAGGGGGAAATGCCACTGGGATTCCTGCAGCTGCAAAATACAATTATAGAAGATCACTAACCACATTGATATATAAAGTGATGGATTGTTCAGTAAACCTATCTTTCATTGAGCTGCAATTCACCTACTTTTTTTATTGTTAGAATATTTGAATGAGAGATTTGTCACTTTTTTCTTAAAAACCTCAACAAATTTCAGTAAGTAAATCAAGGAGGGAGAAGTTACTAGTTGTTGCTGGCCCTTCACTTGTAGGGGGAAATGCCACTGGGATTCCTGCAGCTGCAAAATACAATTATAGAAGATCACTAACCACATTGATATATAAAGTGATGGATTGTTCAGTAAACCTATCTTTCATTGAGCTGCAATTCACCTACTTTTTTTATTGTTAGAATATTTGAATGAGAGATTTGTCACTTTTTTCTTAAAAACCTCAACAAATTTCAGTAAGTAAATCAAGGAGGGAGAAGTTACTAGTTGTTGCTGGCCCTTCACTTGTAGGGGGAAATGCCACTGGGATTCCTGCAGCTGCAAAATACAATTATAGAAGATCACTAACCACATTGATATATAAAGTGATGGATTGTTCAGTAAACCTATCTTTCATTGAGCTGCAATTCACCTACTTTTTTTATTGTTAGAATATTTGAATGAGAGATTTGTCACTTTTTTCTTAAAAACCTCAACAAATTTCAGTAAGTAAATCAAGGAGGGAGAAGTTACCAGTTGTTGCTGGCCCTTCACTTGTAGGGGGGAATGCCACTGGGATTCCTGCAGCTGCAAAATACAATTATAGAAGATCACTAACCACATTGATATATAAAGTGATGGATTGTTCAGTAAACCTATCTTTCATTGAGCTGCAATTTTGTCAATTCGGTCTCTAATATGACAATCTATTAAATTTTTTGACAGAAGTGAACCGCGTGTCATTTTTTTGGATGGTATCACCTGATCATTCCATTAAAAATTTAACGGTTCGTCTATGTAGAGACTAAAATAATACGAATTAAATATTTTAGGGATCAAATTGAGATAATCAAGACTAAACTGACAAAAAAATATATTTTAAGGATCAAAAATTACTATTGACCCTTATATTTAGTTATAGTCAAGTTACGATTCAAAATAATCAATTGCGACTCAAAAAGGCAAGCTACGGCTCAAAACGTTTAGAGTATTTGGGATCAATTGTAAAATTGTTAGGATCAACCCTAACAGTTTAGAATCGGTCTCAGATAACCCAAAAGTTATGACTTAAATTTTGAATAAAAGTTGTATTTTTTTTTGGTTATAAACTGCCCCCCAAAACTTATATCTAAACCCAAAAAACTTAAAATTAAAAATATTAATTATTTTGATACTATAATCTTTTTAATTTTGGTCAAAATTTTGCAATAGACAAGGCAAATGAGCAAACCACCGGCGGGGACAGGGTGGGTAGTTGTGTGTATTTAGGTACCATAAATGAGGGCATCAAATAAGGGCGGTGGCGATGGTTAGCTCGGTCTCCCATAAATGGAGTGGGGGCACTCCGTCAAGGATCTCACTCCAATGTCACGCAGCCTAGCACAAAAAATTGAATAGAAAAATGTATCTAGACTTTATTTAAAGATTTAATATGGAAACTTAATTAATTATAATTATTAGATTAAAAGTTAGTTCTGTCCGTACATTTTTGATATTCATGGTATTTCCTCAAAAAACCAGTAAGAAACCTATAAAGGATAAATCAGTGAAAACATAGATGCATTGAAAATTCATGTATCTTGAATTCAAAATTTAGTAACTCTTTTTAAGATAGATCATGAGTGACCTATCTCTCTGGTCCGATCATGAATGATTTATCTTCGACAAAGCTGAAAAAAAAATTAGTCAAAGTACACAAATACCCTCAACCGTAAAACCCAAAAAAACACCCACCAACCACTAGCTCTTCTGGTACCATGCCATAGGAAAGATGAATTAGCCTACATGGGGCATGATTAAATTGGATAAAAATTGATTGTATCTGAGAACGGTAAAGTTGTATTAGACTTCAATGTCATCTAAGGAACAAAACGGCCTCTTGATCTACTTACTGCAACCAAGAGAAAAAAAAATTATCGTCCACAAGTTCTCAAAAAAATTGTATGGAGTGAAAAAAAAAAAAACAGAATCATTAGACAAAAGATGTGCAGAAAAACTTATTACTTACTGGCAATCAAATGTAAATTGAGAGAGAGAGAGAGAGAACCTGTGCAGAGACTAACAGGGGGAGTGGAGACTCCACACAAATCAGGAAGCTTGAGTGCCTTTGCCACTTCAATTTGGATTCCATAACTGTCAGAGTTCCCAAGCAGCTGGCACAAGCAAATGGGTTTATTCTCCACCAACCCTGCCAGCTCCGGGCAACATCCCTTTTCCGGCATGGTCAGGTTACTTCCGGCCTCCACAAAAGTCAGGCAGCCCGACAAGTTGGCCAAGTAACTAAAGCAGTCCAGTGATGGCCCTGGAGCCGCCACTGGCAACCCTCTTGATGGACCTGGAGATGCCACCGGCAACCCTCCTGATGGCCCAGGCGAATACGCCATGGGGGTTGGTGGTGATGGACCCGGCGCACCCATGGGTGGCTGTGCTTTTGTGGCCGGAAGTGTTGTTAAAAAAATGGCCACGACAACGAGTGTCCCGGCGAGAATGGTGGTTTTGGTGGTGACCATTGTCAACGTATGTTTGGTTTTGGTTACAATATGTTTGGTCGGAGTGATTTGGAGAGAGAAAAAGGAGAGAGGACGGATTTAATAGTACTGTTGGATCTTCTAGCTGTGGGAGAGACACAACACCGGTTGTTATAAGCGTTGGAGTACAGTACCAAGAAGGTTAATTGAAAGACTAATGCTACGTCGACCAAATATTTATCAAAAATGACATGACTGTTGACTTGAATTTTTTTATTTAGTTTCATGTCATTTGGACCCCAATAAAAATTTCAAATAATATGTTGTCATGTCATTTGAGATGGATATTTGATTTCAAAATTTGGTCACTCTAACGTTACTATAATTGAAATGGTAAGAGAGACGATCTGTAAATTTAGACGTCTTGAATTCGAATCTTATCAATTCTTAATAACCAAATTATTAAAGATTTATCTTCATGAATACCCTAATTCTGAAGTGAATAATTTGTCTTTAATCAGATAAGAGAGACAAGTAATCAAAGTGTATATGAACTAGACCAGATATCCTTAACCATTGAAACCAAAAAAAAAAAAAAGTTATAGTATAGAAGTGATAAATAAATAGGGTAAAATTTATTTTGGATCGAGTTGGCCCTCAAAAAAAAAAAAAAACAGTGTTACAATTCAAGAGGGTGAAGCTACAATTTAGTTTCCTAAATTGTACTAAAATATTATGATCAATCCAAAATAATTTGATTTTACATGCGATAACCCTACCAACATAAATTATAACTTCAACATTATTTTGTGCAACTTTTCATAGGAGTAGTCTACGGCACCAAAAAAGATAATCCAGTACAATATTTGCTATTTACAAGTTTTATGGGTTTTTTGTTATAAAATTTGAGAATCGGTTATAATTTTTGAGGGTCTTTTATAATTTTTAGGAATCATTTATAACCTTTAAGGATTAGTTATAATTTTTTAGGATTACTTGCGTTTGATCCTAAAAATTTTATGATGGATACCAAGTAATTCTAAAAAAATTATAAATAAGCCACAAAATTTTAAAACTTTGACAATACGGTACTAAGTTTTTTTTTTTTTTTGGTACCATAATCTTCTCTATAATTACAATATAATCTGATTGGGTTGAGTGGGGAGAGGGTTTTCCTAACTTTCTGGTTGTGGCACTGGCATCCCATATTAAATTCGCAACCTGCTAACTACCAACCCGTTTGATGTTTGCCTTCACTATCTTAGGTGTGGCGGTGCAGCCGTGAAGGCAATGTTCTTTCTTTCTTTTCACTCGTGGACGGTTGGAGTCTTTTCAATTATACGTTTTTATAATCCTATTACACACACACACCCCCAAAAAAAAACCCAATTTCTAGTATATAATTTGGTGCACTTTAATGATGATGCTTACCTAACATTTCATAGTTTGCAAAAGTCGGGAGTCTACTTTATAAAGTTTATTTTTATTTTGAAAAATTACGCCGAATGTAAATCAAATCATACACTAGTTAGAATTTATTTAAATAAAGAAAAATGTTACATATCTCAAATAAAATATAAAAGTTAAAATTTAAATACATATAATATTTCGGATAAATGAGTTCTACTGAAAAAATTGATGAGACCCACTTATTCAAGAGATGATATGTATTTGAGTTTTATTTGAATTTTGTAATATTACTGGTAGATAAAATAGGTTCTATTGGAATTTATGATGGGTGGTCCAATATTCCAAATATTGCTAATAAAATTGACGGAAAAGCTGAAATGACCATTTTACTTGGTGCTTAAAGTCGAATTAACTCAAACTCGCTACCAAACCAAAGTTCAAATGGCAAAAGAGTTGCAAAATCATGTGGCTCATAATATGCTATGGGGAAGTCATTGATTGCCGTGATCGATGTATATATATATATATGTGTGCAATGTGCAATGATAATGTGGAAATGTAAATGATAACGTGTAAGCGAAGGTCAATTGACGAGTTATAAATTTAAATATTTTAAGTTTGAATTTCAGTAATTTTTTGAGAGTAGACAATGAAGAATTTATTTATTATAAATACTTTAGTCTTGACGTGTATATCATGACTTTGATCAAACCGAAGAAGAGATTAATCAAAATACACATAAATTGATCCAGACATACCTAACCATTAAACTAAAAGAAAAAGACAATGTAATGCCTTGACACCCGTAAATTTGCGGNGTAGACAATGAAGAATTTATTTATTATAAATACTTTAGTCTTGACGTGTATATCATGGCTTTGAACAGACCGAAGAGAAGATTAATCAAAATACACATAAATTGATCCAGACACACCTAACCGTTAAACTAAAAGAAAAAGACAATTTAATGCCTTGACACCCGTAAATTTGCGTGCAAGAACAAGAAGGATTGTTATTCCTTAATGTAAAAGGCCCCAAAGTTGACCAAGTTTTTGTTTGTATTATTGTGATGAATGAATTCTCATGTCACGTTTGTGTTGCTCTAAAATTTGTTGAGGTCGATAGAAAAATCTCAATTGACAGATTATTTTTAGATTTAAGCGATTATTTGTGAGNAGAAGGATTGTTATTCCTTAATGTAAAAGGCCCCAAAGTTGACCAAGTTTTTGTTTGTATTATTGTGATGAATGAATTCTCATGTCACGTTTGTGTTTTTCTAAAATTTGTTGAGGTCGATAGAAAAATCTCAATTGACAGACTATTTTTAGATTTAAGTGATTATTTGTGAANAAAGGCCCCAAAGTTGACCAAGTTTTTGTTTGTATTATTGTGATGAATGAATTCTCATGTCACGTTTGTGTTGCTCTAAAATTTGTTGAGGTCGATAGAAAAATCTCAATTGACAGATTATTTTTAGATTTAAGCGATTATTTGTGAGGAGTTAAAATGTCTTATTTCAGAATTTTTTTAGATGAAATTGATGGATAAATATACAGTACAAGGAACTAATAAAAAATGACTCTTTTATTAATTCAATCGGAGGGACTTTAGTTACAAAAATACTGAATAAACAACATTGATTACAACAATAACTGTTTCCTAAAAATAATCCAAAATTAATCCTAAAATACCCGGATCATGTGCCTTGTGAGCNACTCTTTTATTAATTCAATCGGAGGGACTTTAGTTACAAAAATACTGAATAAACAACGTTGATTACAGCAATAACTGTTTTCTAAAAATAATCCAAAATTAATCTTAAAATACCCAGATCATGTGCATTGTGAGTGTAGGTTTTATCTGCTCCACTAAATTTCTTGAGAATTCAAGTGTCCATACACTGAAACGTTAAGTGTCCATACACTGAATATTCTTGANGTAGGTTTTATCTGCTCCACTAAATTTCTTGAGAATTCAAGTGTCCATACACTGAAACGTTAAGTGTCCATACACTGAATATTCTTGAGAATTTATATTGTATATCTAAACAATTAGAAACCTCAAAATGGGACTGAATCACTATTGATTGGATGATTTTAGATATACTTTATAGCTTTGAGCACCGTGGTGCCTCGAGACGGGAGTGAACATTCTTGGACTTAAGTTCGTGTTTTGTTTTTCTTTATTGGCTGTGAATTACCCCTAACATTCTCCCGTCTCAAACAAATTGAAGGGAAGTCTTCAAGTGTCTTACTTGATTACCTGAACGTAGAAGAGTCTTACGTCCAAGTAATCACGTCCTTGATTCGAGGGTGTGACAACAACATTGTTAGTTGGTATCAAAATCAGTATACAACCTCTTTTAAGTATAGAATTAGCTTCTAACCTTCTTAGACTGAGGTTGGGTTCTCTCTCTCTCTCAACACCCATTCTTTAATTGCACATTAGTAAAAGACCCACAACGTAAAAATAATTTTATGGATACGTTGGTTGAATCCGAGAATGAATATGAAACGTTTTGGACTTGTACCAACTCAACTTCATTAAATCATAACTCAACTGTCTGGTGTGATATATATTCCAGGCTATTCTTATCCACAAGTTTTAAAAGAGTGTCAAGTTATTGGGGCTGTCAATGAATGGGTAACCTTGATGGTGCAGGTAGAAAGCATTTATTAATGAGAATGAATGCATAGAACAGTTGACATCTTTTCAAAAGAACAGATCTAGCATGGCATGCATGAGAGTTGTCTTTTGTTATCTTAAACTTAGTAAATTTTTTTTGGAAAAATTTCAGTCACATCCCTTCTAGTTTATCATCTCTTCAAGAACACTCTTTCTATTTTATTGGATGGTCTTTTTGTTGGTGAGACAGTATGGGTTAGAAAGTAATAGGTTTATAGTTGAATCAGATTCTTTGGCCTTGGTAAATATGGTACAGGCTAAAATTCGTTGTTCTTGGAGAATGTGCTCTTTGGTCCAGAAAATTCTGAAGCTGCTGAATGGCTTGGATTTTCAATTGATACATATATTCAGGGAGGCGAATGGAGTAGCTGATTGTCTAAGTAAGGGTGTTGTCTCAAGAAAAATATCTGTTAATTTTTCGTTTCTTGATGCTTTGCCCAGTCCTAATACGGTGCTAATGGCGCAGGATCTATCGGGTTTGTCCACTGTGAGAAAAAAGCTTCGACTGGTGCGGTGCGATTTCTTCCCCCATGATGCAGCTGAATGGTGCTTGGTTGAGGAATTGGGCATCTACAAGAATGATTTTTGTCATATTATATTGCGTTGAAGGATTAAAGCCACAATTTTGGCTTTTTAGTTTCTTGTTAATATCCTTTACTTCTTGTAATTTTGGATTTACTCAATAAAATTTCTCTTTTCCTTAAAAAAAAAATAAATTTATCACCCTTGTCAGATTAAAAGTGTTACTTGAATACAATTTTACTAAATTGTTCATTATATATTTTAGAAAAACCTTCATCTACACCCCTATTAGATAAATATATTTTTAATGAGATTCCTTCTATTTTTTAATTTTTTTTAATACAGGCCGATTAAAATAAAATTCGAACTAATTAAAATTATTTTTTACATATTAAAATTTAAATCAATTAAAATTCTATTCGAATCAAAATTTAATCAACTCGCATTGAATTTTAATCAACTCAAATTTTGATACATAAAAAGTATAAATTTAATACATTAAATAAAAATTTTAATCAACTTGAATCGAATTTTAATTGGCACAAATTTTAATANATTTTAATCAACTCAAATTTTGATACATAAAAAGTATAAATTTAATACATTAAATAAAAATTTTAATCAACTTGAATCGAATTTTAATTGGCACAAATTTTAATAAATAAAAAAATATAAATTTTAATTGGCACTAACAACTTAAGTAATACTCAAATCGGCTTAAATTTTAATACTTAAAAAAAATAAAATTTAATTAGTTCAAATCAAATTTTAATCGGCTTAAATTTTAATATGCAAAAAAACAAATTTTAATTAGTTCAAATTTTAATATGTAAAAAAANTAAATAAAAAAATATAAATTTTAATTGGCACTAACAACTTAAGTAATACTCAAATCGACTTAAATTTTAGTACTTAAAAAAAATAAAATTTAATTAGTTCAAATCAAATTTTAATCGGCTTAATTTTTAATATGCAAAAAAACAAATTTTAATTAGTTCAAATTTTAATATGTAAAAAAATAAATTTTAATCGGCTAAAATTTATGTAGAAAAATTGTTTGAGATTTATGTATGGACAATTTTGGTATTTAGATAAAAAAAAATTGTTAGAAACAATAGTTTAATAGTAAAGAGTGTCAGTGATGTTTAAATATAAACTAAAAAAAGTGTCAGTGATATTTTGAATAATAGAATAAGCATTTTTGAAAATATGATAAACTAGAAGAAATATGGCTAAATTTTTTTTATTTTTCTCTCGATCCTCTTTTTNATGATAAACTAGAAGAAATATGGCTAAATTTTTTTTATTTTTCTCTCGATCCTCTTTAATAATGGCACAAATCACACGGAAATGAATGGNTATTTTGAATAATAGAATAAGCATTTTTGAAAATATGATAAACTAGAAGAAATATGGCTAAATTTTTTTTATTTTTCTCTCGATCCTCTTTTTATAGTTTGATGAAGGTAGAAAAGCATTTAAATGCGAAAGAATGGATGAAATAATGGCCTATTTTCAAAGAACTAAGCCTAACATGGGATGCATGAGAACTGTCTTGTGATCTTATTCATTCGTATTTTTTCTCCCAATTCTTTATAGGGTTTATTACACATTTTCCCTCTACATTTTTACCTAGTTTCCACTCTACTTCTCATTTTTTTAAAATAAATTCATCCTTTAATTTTTTACAAAAGATAGCCAAAACTTTCACAAGCAAAGGCACGTGTACATTACTAGTGCACGTGTCATGATTGACATTTTTCATCAAGTAGTGTGACACGTAGATCTAAAGCACACTTTCCTAAAAACAATAGTAATTTAAAAAAAAAGCCTAGTAGTAATTCAAAAATTAATAAAAAAATATAAGAAAGTTATTTTTAAATTGACAATTTTATAAAAAAAAATTCAATAAATCAAACTTTAAAATAAACCAAACATATTCAATAAAAAAATATATATATAAACACCAATATATATATACCCATCACACACACACACATATATATATACACACACAGTATATATATATACCCCTCACACACAATATATATATCTATATATATACACACAATTACACAATACATAACACACCCATTACACACACAATCTATATATATATATATATATATATATATATATATATATATACACGCACACACAGTCACATAAATCTAAAGCACATCCGCTTTAGATCTGAAGATGTCTGAAGAGAGACACCTTCGTTGCACAGAGAGAGAGAGAGAGAGAAGACGTTGTGCTTCGGTGATTTGAAGAAGAGAGAGAGAGGGCATGGAGACGCTGGAGAAGATGATGTCTGGAGAGAGAGGAAGATTAAAAAAAAAAAAAAAAAAAAAAAAT